CGTGTTCGAGATATCGAGATTTTTGTACCTTTTGCTCACTTCTAGTTGCCAAACATCCCCAATTTGGCATAAATTATGTTTTCCTATCAGTTTTACACTAGCACACAAACATTTACAAAGCATATTTTTGAAATTGCTCCTTTTACTAAGACTGGAGATACTCTTTGGCGATTCTCAGGAACAGGTTAAAATAGAAAAATTTGAAAGAATGATTTTTCATTCGAATGAGTTTTGTGTTAGTAAGCTAGTAAGCGAGAATTATATCTTTTATTTCCATCCTTGTCTGATTTGCGGGGTCATCGAACTATCACCAACCCCCACCCCCGATCCTTTGTCTACGTTTTGTTATACTGGAGATCGAATGATCAATATTATTTATGCAATTAGTTAAAACTTCAGATAGTCTTCGACCCTTCGAGGTGAAGTTGTATTTGTTCTCTTCGAAATTTTATTTTCTTGGGAAAGTATGGACAGAAGATCAAAGGAATATGCAGGGACCCATCAAAAAAATCGGGCGCGCATATGTTTTCTCTGTCTGTAGAAGAAGAATCAAATGGTCAAAATCAGTGGTGCTTTATGTGTGAATTTAAAAAATGTGTGAATTATGCTGAACATGATGAACGTTTTCCCAATGTTTTATGTAGCGATTGCAAAATTATCGTATATCGGTCAGTGAAGTGTGAAACTATCGAGAAAATAGCTTTGCCGGACTATACAAAGTTCAAAATTTTGATGAAAAATACTCGGGCAAAAACTCAAACGCTGTGCAGTTGCACATTGTGTGAATTGGTACGAGATCCAGAGCCATATAACTTCACCAAAAAAAATGACAAGAACGAAAAGAAGAGGAGCAACAAGTGCAAAAAAAATGTGGTGAAACTTATTCGGTAGGGAAAAAACATTTTTGTATCCCAGAAAAACACTCCCCAAGTTTCAAAGAACATGTAAGTAACTCGCTTTCCCTGAAACAGAGAGAACATTTGGCGTGTTCTTTAACATAGTTTTAAATAAAGACACAAATTCTCGCAGCTCGAGCAATAAAACCGCTCCATTATCTCAGATTTATGGAAAGCCACTCAACGTTGAAATTACCCAGAAACTAAAAAATCAAACTATAGGCCCGCAACAAATTTCCGCGGGAGATGTTTGTAAAAAAGCCACAAATTACGACCTCTCTAGCAATGTAGTTCAGAGCATAGCAAGAGACTTACGCGTTGGCTCCCAAAAAAAAGAAACCTGTTTGAACCAAATCTTAAGACGAAACTTTCTACACACCGCCACAATTTTTTGATTTCAAAAGTTGCCCCATAATAACATCAAAAGCTGGCGAGAAAACGACCTCTACAGAAATATTGGCATTTTGTACAGATATTCCAACTTAATCGATTGTATAAAAACAACTCGAAACAATGATAATCCCTATTTGAAGTTTGGCATTGATAGTGGGGAAGGTTTTCTCAAGATTTGCCTTTCAGTGCAAGAACCTGATTCTGCTATAATAGACGGTCGAAAAAAATATATATAGAGGGCGCAGGGGCTAAAAGATTCAAGGATTCCGGAGTCAAAAAATTATTTGTTCTGGCAATAATTGCAGGTACACAAGAAAACGATGAAAATGTTAGAATGTTATGGTCTCTCTTACAGATCAATGATTTTGCCGACACAATTGCGACCGATTTGAAACTGGCCAACATATTGGTATGTCTCGTGCCAGTAGCTTTCCCTGTACTTGGTGTTTCGCCTCGAAAGAAAGTTTGGATATCACATTTTTACCAAATTGAGCGTGTTCCAAGTCCAAAAATGCCTATTTTTGTATCTTTGCATTATTCATTGAAAAAAGTAGATTTTTTTCACAATCGGCTCTAAGGCTTACGGTGGAATTTTTTTTTCAGCCTTCTTATGACTCTGGGAATCGAATGCCGAAGGAAAATCGGTGGCGCTAGAACTTTGCATTTAAATCATATTCAAGCCCACCGTGATGCTTTTATAAAATATATCAACTATAATAAATTAAAAAAAGATCTACAACAGGAGTCATGGAATAGTCTTTATTCAAAAAATAATTCTAATGAAATTTCAGAGAGTTTTATCAATACTCTAAAATTATACATTAATCAGAACACAAACGAGTTAAAAGTAAAATTAAAAAATAATAGTAAAAATTGGATTACACCGAGCCTTTTAAAATCTATTAAAGAGAAAAATAAAATGTACAAATATTTATCAAAACATCCAACAAATATTCAATTACAACAAAATTATAATCAGTATAAAAATAAACTAAGCAGACTAATTGAAAAGGCCAAAAAATTATACGTACAAAAGGAAATAGAAAAAAATTCTAACAAGTCAAAATCTTTATGGAACTGTGTCAATCATATTTGTAACAAAACAAAACCTAAAAAAATAATAAAAAGTATTAATATACAAAATCAAATAATAAATGATAAAAACGTTATTGCTGAAGAGTTTAATAAGTTTTATTGTGAAGTTGGGGAGAACTTAGCGAGTCAAATTGTAGAGCCTAGCAATTTCCAAGAAAAAACTATTGCAATAAATAACAGCTTATTTTTGTATCCGACTAACGAGGAAGAAGTTCTTAGTTTAATAAAATCTTTAAAATCAAAAAAATCACCAGGTCAGGATAATATTAACTCAGACCTTTTAAAAAACGTATGTAATCAAATCGTATCACCTTTAGTACACCTCATAAATAGTACGTTTTGTACAGGATGTTTTCCAAAAATATTCAAAACCGGGTTAATTAAACCGTTATTCAAACGAGGAGACGTTGAAAAGATTGAAAATTATCGACCGATCTCTTTAATATCTAATGTAGCCAAAATCCTTGAGAAAGCTATCAAAACGCGTATAATAAAATTTCTAAATAAATTTAATGTTCTTTCTAATAACCAGTATGGATTTAGGGAGGGGAGATCGACACAAGATGCCATACATGCATTAACTTCAGAAATATATTCCTCTTTAGATAAATCTAAACCATCACTTTGTATCTTTGTCGATCTCTCCAAAGCCTTTGACACGGTATGTCACAGGAAATTACTAGAAAAATTGAATCAAATTGGAATCCGTGGCAATGCATTAACATTATTTGAGAGTTACCTTTCTGGTAGGGAGCAGGTGGTAAATATTGAGGGTACAATAAGTTCTCCAAAAATAATTACATACGGAGTTCCTCAGGGAACGGTGCTAGGACCAATACTTTTTACTATTTACATAAATAATCTTATGATACAACCGTCAGTGGGTAAAATATTGAGTTTTGCAGATGATACTGTGATATTGTACCAAGACCATAACTGGAATGACTTGAAAAAAAATGCTGAAAAAGATTTTCAAAATATTATTAACTGGTTTAATTATAACAAACTAACTTTAAACTACGAAAAAACCAAGTACTTACCATTCGCCTCTTATTCAAATGGACTTCCAAGTATGGGACCTCTAACAGTATCCGATAAAATAAAGATTCCAGAAGCTTCGTCTATTAAATATTTAGGTATTGTCATCGATCGACATCTAAGATGGGACCTACATATCTGCAACCTAGTCAATAAATTGAGAGGATTTATATCTAGATTTAAGTACCTAAGACAATATTTAAACGTTACTCAATTAAAAATCATCTATTACGGATTAGTGCAGTCGCAACTATCATATGGCATCATAGCTTGGGGTGGGGTCAGTGATTCTTATCTAGAAAAGTTAAATGTGGTACAAAAATGGATACTAAAACTTATGTATAATAAAGAGCGTTCATACTCAAGTGATCGTCTGTTTCTGGATGCAGGAGTTCTAGATATAAGGCAAATCTATTGTTTAACTCTCTTAACAAATATTCACAAGGGTAACATAAAATTAATACAAATAGAACATACCTACAACACAAGACAACTCACTTTCTCTATCCCACGCTGCAGTAAAACCATTGGACAAAGACATTGTAGCTTTATAGGTCCAAAATTATATACTTTAATTCCTGAAAATATAAAAATAATTAAAGAACACAATTTATTTAAATCTATGTTAAAAAAATGGTTATTAAACACACCCAGAAAATTGTTCTATACTTTATTAAATTAATTATTTAAATTTTACAATAGATATAAATATATAAATAACTATACTTACCCAATATAAGACATCCAACCGAATATGACTAATACCCTCTTGTGACTTTCTCGCATTATAATGGACATTGACAAAAAAATCCCGGATTTGACATCACCCGATTTTGACGTTTTTAGCATATAATATACCTACCTAATAATATGTAACAATTTATTTAATTTTACATTATTGTTTAAAAAAAAAAAAAAAAAAACTTAAATTTGTCAACACAAAAAAAAAATTATTATTATAAATTATCACGTACAAGCGGTACACAATGTAAGTACTGCTTCTGTGAATTTGTATGTTTATTTATTTCTTGTCGTTTTTATTAATGTATTTTTTAAATGTATATTTCAGTAAATAAACATTATTATTATTATTATTATTATTATATCAAAGAAGGGAAGGTTAACTTATAGAAATAGAATTTGGTTAAACTTACAACCTAGTATAATAATGTCCTTATTTTTCATTCTAAATCAGCAAAAACTATTTAAAACAATACACGACAAAATTACCCACTTTCTTTAACAAGCAATCTAAATACCCTACAATAAGTCGTTGGGACTAAATGAATATGATTTTCTATTTGTCAATAAAAGAATGAAGTTAATCATATGCAACTAACAATACAAGAAAGTTAGTTCTAATATTGGTTGTCTACATGTTAGTAATTTTTTACCAAAACACAAAAATTATAAATAAACTAGTCAAAATTAGAAAAAAGATTATATGTAACACGTTACGAAATGTCGTTTTATGTAACGAGTGAATATTTGCGGGACGAGCAGAGCGTGGTCGCACAACATAAATAAAAACAAAATAAGGCATTTCGTAATTGGTTTCATAAATAGCAATTAACTTACCCAGATATTACACCTCCTGCAATTCCAACGTGATCGCAATACTTTTCTTCAATATTTTGAAACATAAACGGATGATTACATAGTTTTCGCAACTGTACAATAGTGTTCATTAGCGCTTTAGAACCACCTTTTCCTTTATTGCCCTTTTCTGAACCATCAGTTAGTAGAACACCCTTGCTTTGCATATGCCTTAAAAATATTTTTTTAATAAATACTAATGCTATTTACAATAATATTAATAATGATAGTCTCAAATGTGGTCAGTTTTTTAAACGAAAGTATAAAACACAAAATGGAAACCACATATCTTATAAATACAGCTAAGTGCGACTAGTTTTGGTTTAATGAAGCCATCTTCAGGCTTATAATATAAAAATAGATTTTTCCTACGACCACTTAGGAAAGTGACACATCGCGTTATTTAGTCTTATGGGAATAAGTGTCCTACATCACACTTCGTTTGTTTCGTTTGTTTCGTTTGTTTCGTTTGTTTCGTTTGTTTCGTTTGTTTCGTTTGTTTCGTTTGTTTCGTTTGTTTCGTTTGTTTCGTTTGTTTCGTTTGTTTCGTTTGTTTCGTTTGTTTCGTTTGTTTCGTTTGTTTCGTTTGTTTCGTTTGTTTCGTTTGTTTCGTTTGTTTCGTTTGTTTCGTTTGTTTCGTTTGTTTCGTTTGTTTCGTTTGTTTCGTTTGTTTCGTTTGTTTCGTTTGTTTCGTTTGTTTCGTTTGTTTCGTTTGTTTCGTTTGTTTCGTTTGTTTCGTTTGTTTCGTTTGTTTCGTTTGTTTCGTTTGTTTCGTTTGTTTCGTTTGTTTCGTTTGTTTCGTTTGTTTCGTTTGTTTCGTTTGTTTCGTTTGTTTCGTTTGTTTCGTTTGTTTCGTTTGTTTCGTTTGTTTCGTTTGTTTCGTTTGTTTCGTTTGTTTCCTTTGTTTCGTTTGTTTCGTTTGTTTCGTTTGTTTCGTTTGTTTCGTTTGTTTCGTTTGTTTCGTTTGTTTCGTTTGTTTCGTTTGTTTCGTTTGTTTCGTTTGTTTCGTTTGTTTCGTTTGTTTCGTTTGTTTCGTTTGTTTCGTTTGTTTCGTTTGTTTCGTTTGTTTCGTTTGTTTCGTTTGTTTCGTTTGTTTCGTTTGTTTCGTTTGTTTCGTTTGTTTCGTTTGTTTCGTTTGTTTCGTTTGTTTCGTTTGTTTCGTTTGTTTCGTTTGTTTCGTTTGTTTCGTTTGTTTCGTTTGTTTCGTTTGTTTCGTTTGTTTCGTTTGTTTCGTTTGTTTCGTTTGTTTCGTTTGTTTCGTTTGTTTCGTTTGTTTCGTTTGTTTCGTTTGTTTCGTTTGTTTCGTTTGTTTCGTTTGTTTCGTTTGTTTCGTTTGTTTCGTTTGTTTCGTTTGTTTCGTTTGTTTCGTTTGTTTCGTTTGTTTCGTTTGTTTCGTTTGTTTCGTTTGTTTCGTTTGTTTCGTTTGTTTCGTTTGTTTCGTTTGTTTCGTTTGTTTCGTTTGTTTCGTTTGTTTCGTTTGTTTCGTTTGTTTCGTTTGTTTCGTTTGTTTCGTTTGTTTCGTTTGTTTCGTTTGTTTCGTTTGTTTCGTTTGTTTCGTTTGTTTCGTTTGTTTCGTTTGTTTCGTTTGTTTCGTTTGTTTCGTTTGTTTCGTTTGTTTCGTTTGTTTCGTTTGTTTCGTTTGTTTCGTTTGTTTCGTTTGTTTCGTTTGTTTCGTTTGTTTCGTTTGTTTCGTTTGTTTCGTTTGTTTCGTTTGTTTCGTTTGTTTCGTTTGTTTAATTTTAATAATAAAAACGGTACACTCATGGGATTGTATCTAGAAAGACTATACCCTTAGTCATAGAGAAGGAGTTCCCAGACGTTCTAAATTGCCGAGAAACTACTAGTGCAGAGCTGGCTTTATATAAATAGCGTGAGTTTGTCGGAAGAAGTTAAGTTTTAATTTAAGTGCTGTATAGAAAAGATAAATTGTAATAAATAAATTAGAATTGTGAGCTATAATAGTGCCTAAGTATTAAATAAATTAATTACTACGTTATAAATAAAGTGTTTTTATGAAATAAACTATAAATAAATTAAACAATCGTTACAGTATGTTACACGTTACGAAATACCGTTTTATGTAACGCTCTGCTTGTTCTGCAAATATTTACTCATTACATAAAATAAGGCATTTCGTAACTCGTTTCATAAATAGCTATTATCAGGATATTTGTAAAAAATCAATAGATAAATCAAGATTTTTGTTACATTTAACCCTGCATAGTCTATCATAAATACAAATTTCTGTTTATTTGCGAACAAATACAGAGGTTAGCACAAAAACAAAAACAATTTCAGGTAATTTAAATGCTGATACATACTTGTATAAAACTTTTTGCAAACCAGACATATCACATTTAATTATGTATTCCACTTTATCAGGTAATTGAGATTCAACTTCTTTTTTGAGTCGCCTTAATAAAAAGGGCCTTAGCACCTTATGAAGGCGACGAATAATAAGAATTGTTTCTTCCTCGTTTAGCTCTACCTAAAATGTATACATTTTTTATCATACAGTGTGAACCAATAGAATGGAAAATATAAATAATATTCGCCCTGTATAGTTTACGCAAAAAAGGTCGGACATGTCAACTTGTAAATTTTAAATGGACAATCTTTTGATACTATATTGAGCGTGTTTAGTATAAACGATTTTTACAAATCTAATGCTCTACAGAGTGAAGCTAAAGTATGGAACGTCCAATTATCTCGGAAATGGCTTTTACAATATTTATGAAGTTGTGTAATACGGTCCATCTTCAGGAACTATTTACATTGTTGTTGGACCTTCGATTTTTTCGAAAATATAATGAACTTTGTTATTTCAAAATCTAACATAAATAGGAAAGTATTACATTTAGTCCTATAGGAAATATATTCAGAAGTGAATTTGTTAATAATAAAGTTATAGTGATTTAAAAAATTCACTTTTAAATCAATAAATCTCATTATTTTTGTTCCATTTTGAGGCGCCATGAAGAAGCAACTATTTTCTTTGGTTATGGAGGACGTACTAAAGAATCGGTGGTATAGTAAGCACGGAATTCCGTCAGAACCGGCGGAGATTATTTTATGAGTATTTATTTATCTTCTTAAATGAAATTATAAATTAATACACAGGGCGTTCCAAGATTTTTTATATATTTTACTCAGGAACTGCTACACATTTTTATTCGAAAATTAGGAAATGTCAATGGAACCTTCATTATTTTAGATGTACTTGAGGTTAATGCCATAATTACTGGCGCTGTGCCGTCATCGTATTGAAAAAAGTTAAATGATTAGGCGGGATCAAAGTTAGCTCAAATGAAAGGGTTTTTTCCAAATCAACGTTGTATCACAGTAGAGGAATTTAAAAAAAAAACCTTTCATTTGAGCTAACTTTCATCCCGCCTATTCATTTCTCCTTTCAATGCGATAAATATCTCAAAGTTGACGACAGTAGCGCTACACTATTCTATATTTGCACAGGGTTGGCTTAAGGCCCATTCAAAAACTCATGAGATATTATGAGATACCCTTTATTTTGTAGGTATGTGGCTAACATTGTTTTAATCCAAATTCAGAACCGAAATTATTTTATGTAAAAATTAGGGTTAACATTTTCTTGCCCCAACCCATTCAATTTAGATTTTGATATCAACTATAGCTGTTATGGTGTTTTCACTATAAAAAAATCATACCTTTTCTCCAGTCGTTGCAAAGGGAGCATTAAACCACTGTTCGAATGTAGAACAACTTTTGAAAATCGACGGCAACAAAAAGTTTAAAAGCGCCCATAATTCTGGTAGTTTATTTTGTAGTGGAGTACCAGTCAAAAGTAAACGATGTGGTGCTAAATAATGAGTATTTAATACTTGTGTCAATTTACAGTGATGATTTTTCATTCTGTGACCTTCATCGATAATCATATATTTCCAAGGTAACTGAAAAGTATATAAAAATTAAAACATTTTACACAAAAATACTGGTACCTAGTTCTTGTACAGGGTGTTATTGAAATACATGCAGATACTAAAATAGAATATTATTTAGACTCTCCTAGTATGTAGTATGTGCACAACTAATATTTTGATAATAAATATATATCATTGAAGAAGTAATTAAATTTTAAAAATGTATATGTTAAATCAGGCATACGTCACTGAAGGTAGCGTAGGTCATGTATAAACATATGCCCCCCGACTTCGTCATAACTGACAGCTAAAAAATAGGCTCGTTAGCATTGTTGAAAAAGGGATCCGGACAGTTTTTCGAATGATAATTATTCGAACGACAGTTCTTCGAACGACATTTATTCAAAAAGACAATTCTTCGAACTGATAATTTTTCGAATGTACGATTCTTCGAATAGACAATTTTTCGAAATAAGTTGGTTTTATTTTATATAATTTAATTTTAATTAGTATTATAATCCCATTGAATTTTGAGAACAGGTAATCTTCTAAGTAAGGTTTTATTTTATGTAATTTAATTTTAATTAGTAATATAATCCCATTGAATTTTGAGAACAGGTAATCTTCTAAGTAAGGTTTTATTTTATGTAATTTAATTTTAATTAGTATTATAATACATAATAAATTTAGTTTTGAGAAATTGTAATCTTTTAAATAAGGGTTTTATGGTTCAGATTAAATGCCATCCCTCTAATAAATAAGCAGGTAATTATTATTCCGACCATTTTAAACTCTTACATTATATGGTATAAAAGATGAAAACATTTTGACATTGTATTCAGTCTGATTTTAGTGTTTATAAATATGCCTCTCGAATTCCTTTTTAGTGAAAAAGGAAAAAAAAAGTTATTTTTGAACGGATTTTTATTCGTTAAAGACAAAGCCGTTGAATTGTTACTTTTATTATTTTAACTATAAGAAATTGGTACCATTCGTTGAACTTGTACAGTCTTGTCACTTATATTATCGGTACATGTAATTTTTAAATAACACCCTGTAATTTGAATTCCATTTAATTTAGATATTTTTATTTGTTAAACTAATGGTAAAAGATAATTGAAAGTCCATGAGGGACATGCTGAATTGTTCTACATACTTTCTACAAAACGTTTATTTAAATAATTTCATTATATTTTTCAAAGTATTCTTGAGAGTTAGATAATCAGTAATTTTGCATTCCGTCAATCAACTTGTCAAATGTAGCTTCTTTCGAAATTCCACTACTATTGGAATGAGATCCTATATTGTTTTACTTTGTTTACAGGGAATAAAATAATCAAAAGGTGCAGATCAGGTGAATATAGGATGTGATAAGTCAACGCCTTGTTAGGTCAAAAATTTGATTGTTGCGTCAGAATTGTGTGCAGAAACAGCATTATGAGACCATTCATTATATAACTAAATCATAGAAATATATTCATTTAGAGAAAAAGAAAGGAACCACTTTCTTATCAACATTTCAAAATTTGTAGAATAATTTGAAAATTTGGAAACAAATCTGAAAAATCCCCCTACGAATTATTAAGACCATTCCCAAACTCCAAAGAATAAAAACATACTTGTAGATATAAAAAAAGCCTGTCGCCGGTGGAATTCGAAACCAGACATCTTTGTTCTGTTCACAAATACCCTTACCGACCATGATGACATTAACTGTCGAGATGGTCTAGCGGTCAGGGCATTTGAGTACAGAACAAGGATGTATGGGTTCGAATCTCACCGGTGATAGGCTTTCATTCCTTTCTTTTCTTTCTTTTCTTTTTTTCTGTTTTCGTTTTCCTTTTTTAATTTTTCTTTTTTTTAAATTTATTTTTCTCTTTTTTTTTTCTTTTTTTAATTTATCTTTTTCTTTTTTCTTTTTTGCTTTTTTCTCTTTTCTTTCTTTTTCTTTTTTTTTCTCTTTTCTTTCTTTTTTCTTTTTTTTTTCAAATCTGCAAGTATGAAGTATGTGTTTTCACCTTTGGGGTTCGAGGATGGTCTTAATATTCCATAGGGGGATTGCTGAGATTTGTTTCCAAATTTTCAAATTATTACAAATAATTCTGATCTTTCGGATTTCGATTTGTGATCTACGATATATTAAATTCACAATTTTCATATTCAGATCTAGTCGCTTAACGAACATTGAAAACTTAACTGACGTAGATGAAGATATGGGCTCAGTATGCATCAATGCATTTCTCATATATGTATACCGAAGCTGTATTTGAAGATTAAGAACGAGCCTAAAACGACGATTGGCCCGAATTAGCACATCAAATTGCCGCATAGCAATCTCGACAGTCAATGTCATCATGGTCAAACGGTAAGGTCATTTGGGTACAGAACAAAGATGCCTGGGTTCGAATGCCAAGGACGACAAGCTTTTTCCCAGACAACACACCATATCATAGAGATATCCACAGAATATCTTTTGTGGATATCCAATATATACACAGGATATCAGAAATATCCCGTGGATCTAATATGGATATCCAAATGTCCGTCTATATCCAAAAATAGAAGATATCCTATGGATATCCAGCAAAATATCTAATGGGCATCTCCCAGACAATACAAGAAATCCCAGAGATATCCACAGAATATATTTTGTGGATATCCAGTATATCCAGTATATCCAGTATATCCAGTGGATCTAATATAAATATCCAAATGTCCGTTTATATCCCAAGATATAGAAGATATTCTATGGATATTCAGCAAAATATTTTATGGGTATCTTTAGTAGAGGTACATAAGTAACCAATGATTATTGAATAACGTCGAAAGAAAATAGCAGAGATAGAAAATATTTTCAACACTCTGCCTTTGATTTTGCCCACTAAGGAGAAAGTCATCCTTATTAGGACTCTTCAGCAATAAATAGAAATTCTCGACTCCAGTCTCTCATGGAGTCTGATTGCAATACCAATTTCGATCGAACTCAATTACGGCGGGTTGAGCATGAGTAGATATTTAACGAGCGAAAGTAGTATCGCCATCTATACTTAGTAAGCAAAATATAAGGTCGCTGTAGTACCTAGTTCAGAGATGGAATAAAAGCCAGGCGGGCTATTCCTTAAAAAGGAAATAATTCTAGTCCTAATAAGGACGAAACCGGTCCAAGAATTACTTTCTTCTTAGTGGGCAAAATCAAAAATTACATCTAGTGGACATTCACCATAGTTTGCATTCGTGCCTAGACTTTGATATATTTAGTGGATGTCCATGGGATATTGAATACACCTTAAAAAATTAATTTTAAATATCTGAACGGTACTATTAGCCACAATGGCGAGCACAATGGCGTAATTTTTTAATACTTTGCTATATAATTACTATTACTTATGAACATTTGCATGTCTATAAATTACATCTCATGGATATAAAATAGATATCCACCATGGACTGGACATTCAGTGGATATTGTGATGTCCCGTAGATATCCAAAGGATTTGGTGTGCTGTCTGGGTTTTCAAATCTCCAAGTATTTTTTTTCACCTTTGAGTTTCGGGGATGGTCTTGATAATTCCAAGGGGGATTATTGAGATCTGTTTCCGAATTTTCATTTATTTAATAGGTACAAGAAAAAATTTGGTTGTTCCAATCAAATCCATTTTTTAATTTGAAACTTTTCCAAATTTTCAAGTATATTAAAATTTAAACCTAAAATGTTTTTGTTAATTTACAGAATTTCTTTTATTCCGTGCAAATATTAAGTTTGGGTTGGTAGGTGGCTCAGTGGTTACAGTCTGGACTTGCGAATCCAAGGGCCCGGGGTTCAAATTCTACCGTTGCGAATCTATTTATTTTATAGCACTTAAGATTTGTTTTCAATCAATCTAAAAATTAAAGTATTTACCTGATATATTTGGTATTTAATTATATTTGGTAGTTAATTAATTTATCCACCGTCTCTATTTTGCCGATCAAATATTTTGTTCTTTATATTTTGTTCACGGTTTCGTCGGTGCTGTCGGCGATGAAATACCTATGGAATTATTTATTTATTGAGTTGAATTTATAATTGTGGTTATTTAACCATGTATAAATATAGAAAATGACCTAGAGGAAAGATCAATAGAAGAGGAAGAAGACATAAAACTTGTCACCCCAAAAAAAGTAACTACAGAAATAAAAACAAACACCAACCCAACGGCTGCAGGGTTACGATCTTATTAAAGGAGAAGAACTGAAGAAATTTACAAGCAGAGACATCGTCCATCCAAATTACAAATTGGATAAATTAATCTTTTGGAGTGAAACAAAATCACTACATTTGCTGATGACAGTGGCGGATCTACGATATGTGGGGTCCGACGTTTAATCGTTTCTGAGGCCGCCACTATTTTGTATATTTCTTACTCACCCATTTTTTCAATATTCTATACACGAGGTGCCATAACAATAATAGGATACAGAACAACTAAAAATTCTCTGTGTCATATAAGATACACTTATCAGCAAAAATAGTTATTTGTGTACCAAGGCCGTAAAGTTCCCAGCTAGCACATAACGTTGCCAAGCCTTTCGGCGATATTGTTTTAAGGGAACGTAATTATATTATCATACAACGTAATTGCAACGTTCGTGAGAAGTAATAAAGTAATTTGCTAAAAAAGTATCCACGAGAAGTACTATGAACATCATCTTATTTGCAAACGTAGCCATTCGTTTGTTATAAGTCAACAAAACATGAAAAAAATGTCAATTGTCATTTTTTTTGTATCTTGTATATATTTCAGAATTTAAAGAAATTCTAATTTGTAAACTATTTATACGTTTGAATAAGTTTGGTAAGTTCTTTTCTTCTTTTCAATAAAATAGAAACATATTTTCTAATTTATTGTCTGTTTTTTAGATTGCAACCCAGCTAGCACATAAGATTGCCAAGCCTTTCGAGGAATATATGATAACTTTTTTAGAAGCTAGATAGAAGGACTTGGTTTATGAAATTATAAAATGAGGATCTTTCTTTTAGAAGCTCGACAGAAGGACTTGGTTTATAAAATTATAAGCTAAACACTTTTTTTTTAGAAATTTCACGAAGGTTCAGTTTTTGTGAAATGAAAAGGAGGCAACCCTAATACAATAAAAACAAATAATGGTATATAAACGTCGGTAAACGAGAAGAATAACATTTAACTGAATGCCCAGTTACATTTTACTTATAAATAATTATGAATGAGATATACAAAACTAAGTTGCCACGTTACTGGCCTATCCAAGGATGGGTAATGTTGTAGTTGACGGGTCTAGAAATGACGCGTATCGTGAACGACACTAATCATTTGTAATTGCTGTGGTGGGAGGTGTTTGTGTGAATGCATCTTGTTTGTTTTCATTTACGCCGTGATTAGCAGTAGTATTTTATAAACCTTAAAAGCAAATTTCACAGACATGAACAAATAATAATAATGGCGTGACAACAAGAAGACGAAGCAACGACTTCTCCTAGGGTGGCGGCTTCGCCATCACCAGAAAATTTCAAGCCATACTGCAATCAAACTGGTGATCGTTCAAGATGCAGTAATAACTGATGATGGCTCCTGGAGGCGCTAAAGCCTCAGCAAGGGACTGAAAGTGAATCGCAGCTATATAAATTGAGATTCCCATGCATGTCGCTAACGTATGTGTTTTAGGTAATATTTCAGTTCAACAAAAGATCCACTAAGTTATTAGATAAATAATTATTCAATAGATAATTACAGTAAATGATAAATAAAGGCCTAAAATAAAATAACACTATTGGTATGTGATTTTAGGGAAGCATGGAGAGGTAGAACTTACCACAGATGTTAGGGGCCCTTCTTTTACAAGGAACAAAATCCACAACATGTGATTACAGTTAAACAAAACGTTCCTTGTAAGAATTGAGATGATGGTTTACTTAATGGCTAATTAAATCTGTAAATTCGAGAACTTAAACGCAGGTGGTTCAAAAAGGTGCCATTTTCATTAACCGGTCAGATATGAGAATACAAAAAAAAAGTATCATAAAAAGTTGGAGGTTTTATTTAAAACAACAAAGTAAGACAAAATTATCTAAAAATAAGTGCAACGATTTAAACTTGAGCATATTTTTTTAATTTCTATATAATTTCCTTTAATAATAGTTAAACAAGTAGGTCAATCTCTTTTTTATTCAATATGTTGTGGAAAAGTAAAATAATTTTATATAAACATATAATTTATCCTTTTCTAATAAATTGTCATATATTTATGTTACATTATAGCGTAAATAAAAATATTTTCAAGCCACATGTAGTTACAGTAAAATAATTTTTGTTCACCTTTGCATAAATAATAAACTAAAAAAATAAAAATATATAAATATTTATACAAAAAAAAGTTAAAAGGTTTGATTTTAAAAAGATGACATATTTCTGCGAGTACAGGTAAGCAATCTGAGAACTCAGCTATCTCGTATAATATATACCTACTGTTGCAATCATCTATTATTCACAGATCTAGTTTTATAGCATCATACAATTGCTATCTTGAAACGTACCTTATATAAATATACTTTTGTACAATCGTTCACTGTTTAAGCTTCTAGCAATTAAGCTAATTTTGTCCAATCGTTCAGTGCTTTATAGGTGATAGGTGGCTTCTACTATCGTACATGTTTGTGATATACCTACCTCTACTTTTGTGATATTACTACTTGATTTCAAGAACATTTTAATAATAAATTTATATAAATATTTTGTTTTATTTGAAATTTCCATGTCTCGATTGAGTTTTAACTATACCTCAATTTCAGCCTCTTTGTATTACATTACACAAATAACAATATAATGTGACTTAATAATACTTGTAAAAATATTTATTTTAAATTAAAAAAAAAGTTATTTTTCATAATTTCTCTATGTGAATCGAATTTATTTAACAAGCAAAATAAATTATGAAGAATTAATTTAAAATAAATATTTTTACAAGTATAGTTAAGTCCATCCGTGGATACACTGTATAATGCTGTAGAGCTAATTAATATTATAACATCTATAGAACGTTTCAGAGCTACTTTCGGGGTAAGTACCATACAAGTGCTAGTTGATGTTTTCCGATCTTTACTTTGTAACCTCTGTGAGATGTACTATAAAAGTCTTGCCGTTGCGGATATTCGGCGGTTGCAGGAATATTAGGGTTACATTAACAGTACATCACATGCGAGCTTAAAGAGCCTAAAATTGCAGCTTATTAACGTAGATAGGCTGTGTTTATGCTAGCTGGGTTAATATTTTTTGGGCAAATTAGAAATTTCCGGCCGAGGGGTAGTCGATACCAAACAATTAATTAGGCCAAAAAAGAGCATATGGCCGAGGTGCACACAACATTTTTTATGCGACTTGTCTCATCAAGTAGGGCCAATATTTTTTTAAATAGGCTTAAATGCAAGAATTGTTTCAAATTTTTATTGATCCAATAAAAAGTCATTGTTAACTTATAACATTTGTACATAATTACTAACGATAAGTATTATAAACCTGTGTTTATAAAAGTAAATGTGGTCAAAAAAGTGACACTTTAAAGCGGCCGTAAAGTAAATGCGGCCAAAAAAGTGACACTTTAGGGATGTTAATAAATCAATAAAATGTCATTTTTTATGACAGTCGCCTAAAAAATCAGTTAAATAAACTTTTCCAGTGGCGTACGGTATGGGTAAGTAATACTTTCATCTCTTCTAAATTTTACGCAATTTTCCAAAAACTTATTTGGACTATAATTTTTTATGTTTTTTAAATAAATCACGCACATTTGTTGGGAACTTATAAAGTGTTTGGTTTTCAAAGGTGGATACTCTTTGTTTAAATTATTTTAAAATTTTGATATATTTTTTTACGTCACTGGCAAATTTTATTTAACTTATTTTTTGAGGTGCCTCTTATGACACCAAAAACGTTTGCCGATTTTAGTTAAATTATACTGAGTAGGTAATGAAAAAATTATAGTCATTAATAATTTTCGAATTTTCAACTTTAACACCCTGTATTTCGGAAACAAGAATTATGTTACCTAAGCATGTTTCGTTTACGTATTATTTTTATTCAAAGAATGTTCAGTTCTTCTTTTTCCTATTCTTAAAGGGGCACCCTGTATCTAAATACAAACATGAAAAATCTGATGTGTCCAGCACATGACTTTCCTATCTAGTTATTATAGGCTTTTTCCGGTTATTTTGTACAACCTATTGCAGCACCTCTATAAATGTTTAGAAGATAAACTAAATATATACATTTTCCACATACATCTACCTCGAAACATTTTTCTATAGATATTCATTGAAAACGAAAACACTAAAAAATTTAAATTTAGCACTTTTCCTACAATTTTTCCATTATAGAGATTGATATCACAAACAACTTTTAGTTCAACAATTTTCATAAAAATCCGAATTTTGCACATTTTGTCAAATTTCTCGAATACGAACAATTTCAGGAAATTTTGACATAAAATAAAAATTATAGATAATATTAGAAGTAACTTTTATGTGATTAATTTTCTTCTCCAAACATAAATAACAGATATATTCCATAAAATATAAAAACGGCCTCCCATAAAGTACCCCCCTCAGATGTTCCGACTTTGTCAAAAATCTAATCAGTTCATTGGACGCTGGAATAAAGCTTAGGTTTAAAATTTGGTGTTTTTCTTTGTATCGGTTCATGAGTTATGGTGGATACAGACACACACACACACACACACACACACACACACACACACATATACACACACACACACACACACACACACACACACACACACACATACACACACACACACAGACACACACACACACACACGCACGCACGTACCACGCACACACACGCACACATACACAGACACACACACACACACACACACACACACACACACACACACACACACACACACACACACACACACACACACACACACACATACACACACACACACACACACACATACGCACACGCACACGCACACACACACACACACACACACACACACACACACACACACACACACACACACACACACACACACACACACAGACCTGGGACCGTTACTAAAAAAAAGTAACGCGTTACTTTATCGTTACTTATGATGCAAAGTAACGCGTTTTACAATCGTTACTGTTACTTTTTTAAAAAAGTAACGCGTTATTGTAACTTCGTTACTTTTAAAGTAACGTTTTACTGAAAAAATAACGCGTGACTGGAAAAGTAACATGTGACTGCAAAAGTAACGCGTTACTGCAAAAGTAAGGCGTTACTTTAAAAGTAACGCGTTATTTTAAAAAAGCGTTACTTTTGGAAATAAATTAATAAAATGTTGGTGTACATTTGTACTATAGAACAAGAAAGGGATAATGAAAGTTATATTGTTATTTGTAATTCATGCTTTATTTAACTAAATGTCTCCACTTGAAAAATAAACAGTCTTAGTCTACCAGTTTTAAGGTTGTAAGTTGCAACGGTAACTTACGGGATAAACCATGCCTTTAGTATTTGCCTACTTACATCATGAACAGAGATTAGGGACATAAAGATTGGAAACGCAAAAACAGGTTTATAGAGAACACGAACACAACAAACAATGAAGACCTCAACAATATATTTTACACGTCAAATGGAAACATACGCTGAAAAAAAGGAAAAGTACTAGATTTGGCTTCGAGTTTACTAGAATACAAGATTCTTAGAGAATGTACTAGATCTAGTACAATTGTACTAGACTGGCAACGCTGATGCCAATGGACAATTTCTTAGTTTTTAGCTTTTAGTTCATTTATGTCAAGATAAAATTATTTATAAATCAATTCAAATCAAGAGCAATATAACGGCGGTAAATAAAAAAAGTATCTTAAAAAATTCAGCATGGCCCTCCTGTGAGCTTTTAAACAATACCTTAGCCAGTACTCCCTTATCTTTTATTACATATTCATAAGTTGTCAATAATACATTAAACTTCGTTGATCGCATTTGACTTTGTATTTGTCTTCTACATGCTGGAGAACCTTTGTAAGATACTACAAGTACAGAAGGAGCCCATTTTTCAAATTCTAAAACCCAATTTGACAAAGTCCTATAAAAAATTAGTTTATTCAATTTATTGAAATATACAGAAAATTCTAAGTAGTGAAGACAAATAATATAATTAATTATATACGCGTTAAGAGTTATTTTTTTTATCTAATAAAATCTTTTAATGTCGACATATTACAGAAAGAAACGATAGAAACTTTTTCCTATTTTATTTACCTACTGAGGTATCTAAGCTTTCGTCAAATTAGGCTAAAAAATTGGAATAAATTAAATATTGTAGAGCGTTGATAATCCGGATTTAATTCCAGTGAAAAAATAGTTGAAGTGAATACATACATACACATTTGTCAAACAAAAGCATTGTTGCGACAGGCTGGGCGATGTCGTCTTAACCGCTAAAAAATATATAAACTATACAGTATTCTGTGAATACATATATTGTACATTACAAATGTATGTATATTCTTTCATTAAAATACATTATAATTTCATATATTAATTAATGGATTTATTTATCTGCTCAATTATTTAACCATAAAGTGAATTATTAACGGTTTTAGCAAGTTTTCTTTTGTTATGAATTCAAACGACCTTTTCTTTGTTATTTTCGAAAATTCGGACATGTTGATAATCTGGACAAGGTCCAGTGTCCAGTCATAATTAATCCGGATTATCGACGCGCTCTTGTATTACAAATAAAAATATGGAAATGATGGTCACACTAGATGTAATGTGAAGAAAATTAGACGTGTAGATCAGTAGGAATATAGCCAACTAGTCAACCAGTTCAATCTGTGTATAGAAGTGAACAGCGACTAAGAGAATCCTGGATCACATATTATCTCTGTATAGGAATTGGGTGTTTTTATTTTAATAAAGTTTATTAAAATTTGGTCCTCTTAATTTTTTTAACCATGGAATAAAATTTTTTTGGTTTGTATGGAAATATATTAATTAATAAATAAATATACAATATGGAGCAACTATATCCGCTCGGAGCATAGCAGCCAAATAGGATGATTAGAAAATAAGTTCTATTTCAATATTATACAGCACCAAAGAGATTAAATTTCTAAAATAAATTCAACTATAAAGAATGTTCCATAAACAAAGGACAGCTATTAAGGTCCCCCTGTATTTTTGTTATTTGATCCTATGTCTATCCACACTATGGTGCCTCTCACGGTTCGCTTTCAATTCAATCTTCTCAAATTCGTATTACTGATCAGGTTCTGATCGTGCTTCAGTCTCTTTTGATCAAAGTTATAAGTTTAAATTAAAAACTTATTATTTTTATTTTCCTACTAAAAGGTGTCCAAATTTGACATTCCGATTTAAATTGGCCGCCATTTTTGGTAATCTTCATTGACAGTATTTTTATGGTGACATATATCAAGCAAAAACTTTACGCATGCTTGTTTTTTGGTCAACATGGAACACCCCGTTTTTTATTGTGAAAACTTATTACCAAAATAGGAAATGTTTTGTTAAAACTGCAAGAAGATGTCGTACGCATTTCGGAAAACATTTAGCACCATTAGTTAAAGTTATTGAGAGCTTTATGAAGAGATTTCAACGCAGAATATGGGGTGAAGAAAATCCAAGAAAAATATTGGAAAAATGACTGTATCCAGTAAATGTGACTGTGTGGTGTGGTTTTTGGTCTGGTGGCGTTATTGATCTTTATTTTTTCCAGAATGAAGCTGGTGATGCGATAACTGAGAATGGAGCGCGATACAGGACAATGATTAGAGAATATTTATGATATGGAAGGTATGGATCTTGAAAACTTGTGGTTTCCGCAAGACGGTGTCACTTGCTACACATCCGATAAAACACTAATGTTTTAGGAGAGATTTGGCAATTGAATAATTTCTTGAGAAGCTGAAGTTAATTGTTTGCCTTGGTCGTGCGACCTAACACCATTCGATTATTTCTTATGGGGCTTTTTGAAGGGGAAAATATTGTGCTAATAATCGTCAAACACTTGAACAGCTTCGAGTTAACATTATACAATAACATTATAATATTTCTAGGGTTTTCTGAGTTTTATAATTAAATTAAAACCGAAGGTCAAATTTGGACACCCTACTTTTATAAAATCAAATATTGGTAAGTATTTTCATTTCAGTTCTGCTATGTATAATTTTTTTTCCTGGGATCGTCTGACTTAGTCTCCGATAACACTTAAGTCTAATGGCTTGTTGTATTTGATCTATGTTAAATCATAGGACCCACTATGTCACCTTAGACCCTTGTACAAGTCCTTGACAGGGTGTGTTCTATTGGTTCTTGGATCAACCTGTGGTTGTCTAAAAAGTGCATGTGTTTTGCAATTGCACAGTATGTGTTTGGCTTTTTCTGGTTCCTAGTGACAGATTCGATACAATAGATATCCACTATACAGCTTTATTTTCTTCAGGTTTCCCTTTACTGGGGTATACCCAGTCATGAGTCCTGTTATTGTTTTCTATTGGTTCCAATTTATAGAGAGTAGTTATCCTGTTCTTTTTGAGCATGGTCTTGATATAAATAATTTCCCACGTGCTTGTTTTGGGACATTCTCCCAATAGTTGTTGTGTTTTCTCCGAAGCCAGTCTTTCATGAAACTTTGAACTGTACTTTTTGGTACTCCAAGGATATCTGGTTTCGGTTTTTCGTCTGGCCCTCTCTTTACAAGTTCGTCAGTCTTTTCATTGCCCTCGATCCCTTCATGACCTGGCATCTAAACTAGTTTTATTCTATTTCGGTCTGCCAGTGTTCTCATTTCTTCGATGCAATCCCATACATGCCTCGACGTCACTTTCTGACTCGATATGGGTCTTATTGACCGTCTGGCTGTCTGACATTATTTGAATTATTTTCGGTAGCTCTCCTGCCATGTTAAATAAAAAGACGAAGATTGTTTTTAAACATTTTTTATACTGTTTGCAATGTCTCCGAACATTTTAAAGCTAATGTGACTATGAACCAGAAGACTTACTAATTAAATTATTTGACCGATAAAATCAAGAAGAATTATGATTAAAAATTTCAGGTCTCTGCTCACTATAGCTGGCTGACCGACTGTACCGACACATTCAAAAAAATCCTTTACATAAAAATAAATAAATAAGAGAAAGTCCGTGTCATAGAAACATGGTACGACCGTTTACCTCCTGAAAACAACTACTCCTTTGGCTAATACCGCAACAAGCATCAAAAGGAAAATAGCGGAGAACGTAAATAATTTGACAAAAAGGTTATAAAATCAGTAAATTGGTTTAGATCCGAAAACTGAAAATGCAATTTTTGTAAATATGAAAATGTAATCCTCAAAATTAAGAAATATGTCCCCAAAATGAAAACAAATCAAAAAAAATTGAAAAACCTGAGAAATGAAGAACAGAAAAGTGCATCGGTCAGGTATCAAACCTGAAAGGCTAGAGCCGTCGGCGTTTGTAGCATATGTTTTAATAATGACAGCCTGTATTTTATTTTCGTTATATATTAGGAAACTTGAAGTTAAAGAACATCTATTTTCTAAAATTTACTTAAATTTAATAGTTGTCGATGTTTCTACTATTTGTGAGAGCATGACGGGCCAAAATGACCATTTAAATGTTCGAACAATATCCTCAGCAATTATTAAATGTTTAATGTTTGGGAGGCTTTGGAATTTTTGACGTTTAGAATTTTTTACGTGTTTGACGCACATAATAAACACTAACTGAGTCACTAACTTATTTTGTGATTTGACGTTTTAAGTTGTTGAAAGTGTGACGGTCACATACTTTGATTTTCTTTTACTATACGGAGAATGGTCGCACTGCGCAGCTTTCTGAGTGCCTTTTAAAAGGAGATAGAAAACTCCGCCATTTTGAACCCTTATTACGTGTTGCCTACATCTTGGCGCAATATTTTTAATAGGTGCGTTTTAATCATCCGCTTCTGCTTTGGAATTGTCGGTTTTCTTGTTTTAATCTGACAGGTTAAAACGACTAAACCGACAATTCCGGAAGCAGAAGCGGATGATTAAAACGCACCTGATATTTTGCTTGCTGCTGTCAGTGAATATTATTTTTGAAGTCACAGTTTATTGATAAAGAATCAGTTAGCTCACTCGGACCAGTTGAAAGTTCCAAAATAACATCCACTCCAGGGATACAAATTCAGGATACGCAGAAGACTGCTGTTTTATTATAGGCGGTTGTCATATATTGTATTATCCGAGTTGCACAGTGTATAAACTGAAACATTGAGATCAAAAGTCCCGACGCAGAGTGAGCGATCTGATTCTTTAGCTGTAAACTGTGTCACAGGGTTCAAAATGGCCGCGCCTGATGTTGGGCGTGTCGGACCTCTCTCTTGCCTCGTATAGTAATCAAAGTATGTGGTGACGGTATCTTTGTGACATTTTTTAACGTAATTTGTTTTTATTCGTTATTGAAAATGGGTCGCGGTAAAGCAACTCCAAAAAAAAATTAGAGATTTGATCTAAACAAGTATAAACATAAACATAAGTTCTCTAATAAATATCTGAAACAAAATTATGAAAAGGCGGAACATATAGTGGTTAGGGCTCGTATGCTAGCGTCGTTGGTATTATAACGGGAGCTAGCACCAGACCCATAACCAATATCTGTCACTTGTCTTTTTCTTACCACAATACGCAGTTATAAATTATAATAATTCAAAGTTTATTCATAATAATAATAATGGATGTTCTAGTTGATTTTAACTACCAACAACAATGTTAGTTTATTATTTTATAGGTACACATTGTTTAAATTTATATTTTTGTGAAGGTATCTACAGAAAATAAATCAACTATTTTTAAAAATTTACCCAATTGTAAAATAATATTTCACTATTTTCCAGGAAGACTGTGATGATGGCTTTATAAAGCCGAAAGCCCTCTCCTGATTTTAATAAATATTTAAAACAAATGATATACGGGTCTAATTTTCTTCACCTCAATGTATTACAACCAAAGAATAAATATTGACATACCAATTGAATAAATAAAATTGAAAATCTTATGCTATTTATTTTATTGTTATGTATACTCACGACAAAGGAACAATAATTAAATAAGGTCCATTGACTTTCTTTTTCTCCATAAGGTATGTTATTAAGGCTATAGTCTGAATTGTTTTACCCAAACCCATTTCATCAGCTAATATACCATTCAGATTATTATTATAGAGAGAAACCAGCCACTCTAAACCCCTTACTTGATATTCTTTAAGTGTACCATTTATCAAAATGGTCGACTGCTCTGTTACTATTTCATGAACAGTATGGGCTATACTATAATATGTTTGTTCTTCAATTGAATTTTTATGATATTCGTCATCTTCAACTCGAGCTTTTTTAATAACGTGTTTTGCTTTGTCTGCTTCTGATTTAGGTTCTAAAAATTACATAGAAAAATTCTATTTAAAAAATATCTTTTGTATGTTATATAAACGAAATAGCATTGTGGATCGGACAGGGAGAATAAATCTCATGTATCTTAAATAATAGCGTTTGTATTGCAAAACGTACATAATATACAGTGAGCACGTAAAGGTTGGGACAAATTCGTTGAACGCTTGATATGAACATTGGGGATTTTCTTTTTAAGTTGCGCATATTTTGGTTATGACGTCATTATCATTTTTTTTTAAATGGCAATACCCTATTTTGATAACACTTTCAAAAAGAAAAAAAAAATATGTGTAAGAATGTCATATTTTTTCTCATGTAACATAAGAACATTTCCAGAAATTAATTCATGAATACTAAAATACGCAAGTTTCTAATTTTCGTTCCGCGGCGAAACTGAATTACTTTTTATCGGTTTAAATTTGTTTGTACAACTGTTCTAAGAACATGTCTCATTCACAATAATAGTATAAGTAAGTTATCGACATCGTGACCTCATAACTCGAACAAGTTTCCATACATATCTGCCCATTGTCCTTTATCGAACATTCTTGCCTTGTAGAAGATGAAAATACTTTGCTGTCTTAAAAAAGCCTTTGGAGAGCATTCTAACATGACATATATGATTAAATAATTAACTTGGCATAAGCTTTCATGACTCAGGTCGTTAAGCGCTCAAATTTGGATTTCGCAAGGTGGGTTCAAATCCCGATAAAAGCAATCTTTTTTTAAATTTATTGAGAAAGACTTGTTTAATAGTGCATATAGGCAAAATTACAACATTATTTTTAAATGAGAATTAGTTTTCCACTTACTTTCATCTTCTTCAATATCATAATCCTCATCAGAATCATCTTCCTCGTCACTATCAATTTCCCAACCAGGATTTTGGGATAACCAGTCTTGCAATTGGCTCAACAGTGGTGCTTCTTCGCCGACAAGTTTTTTACCAGTGGCTATTTCTACAACTGTTATTGGTTTGTCAGATAATTGAGAATCGTCATCGATTTCAGCATTCAACAACTCATCAATTTTAAGTTTCTTCTTCTTTTTCTAAAGACAAATAAGAAAAATAAATATTCACTGTTCTGGGGGTTAAAATGTAATTATTACAGTATACGACCAACAGGGTATGACACTTAAATGTAATACACAAAAAATTTATAAATAATAAACAGAAATATAATAACTCTCGAGTGGGTTAGCTCAGTGGTTAGAGTCATGACTTTGAGATCGAAGGGTCTCAGGTTCAAATAAGACGTTGTACTTCTTCATGGGGGCCTTCCCTTTTTCAATGGGGTCCGTTAATCATAGCACAGGTGAACATTTCTTACACCAGTCCTTTACATCATCGGAACTGTTTATCCAATAAAACCTTTCACGAACTCTCTGAATGGTTTTCTTAACACTGAAATGTCCTCCTTGCGGACAGTCGTGTAACTGGCGAAGTACCTGGGCTACTCTAGTTTTTGAAATGACCAACTGACTTCTGTTTTCGGAACCATCATCATTCTCTAGTACTCGCTTTAATAAACCTTCCAGGATAAAGGCGTCCCACTGAGCCCAATATAATTTAACTACTGGAAAGAGTTTCGATACTTCTTCCCAAGTAGGTAGACGAATTTCTTTTTTAAATTGTCGCATCTTCTTTTAAACGGAATCGTTTTCTTGTTCTTTCCTAAGTTTGGCAGGGGCCCACTCATTGTTGACTACAGTTGTTCTTAGTAGTTCACTATCTTTGGATTCTGCTCTGTTGCAGTGAGAGCACTCTGCTAGGCACGGTCTTCTAGAAAGAGAATCAACATTTCTGTGACATATTCCGGTTCTATGTTCGATTTTAAAATCACGCTCTTGAAGTAATTCGATCCATCTGGCGATTTGGTACTCCGGGTTCTTAAACTGCATCAGCCACTTAAGAGCTGCATGATCGGTTCGGATCAGAAATTTCCTTCCATATAGATATTGGTAGAAGTGTTCCACATTTCACAACTGTCAGGAGTTTTCTTCTCGTGACGCAGTAATTTCGCTCAGGTTTCGAGAGCACTTTACTAAAATAACCCAGTACTCTTTCTTTCCCCCCTCGAATATGTGAAAGCACCCCTCTAATTCCCACATTACTGGCGTCAATATCCAGAATAAATTCTACCTCTGGTAGTAGGTAGCCTAAAATAGGCGCTGTTGTTAAATACCTCTTTAATGTTTCAAAGGCAATTTGGCAATCTTCGTCCCAGCAGAATTCTCTCGCTTCTTCTGTGAGTCGTGTTAATGGCTATTAACTTTCTTACGAATCGTCGGTAGTACGTACAGAGCCCAAGAAAACTTCTTATTTGTTGTTTATCAGCTGGTTGTGGCCACTCTCTGATAGAAGCGACTTTTTCCTTATCTACAGTCACGCCATCCTTGCTAACTATGTGACCCAGGTAATTAACTTTATTTTTAAATAGCTTGCATTTATTGTGGTTAAGCATCAATTGGGCAGCTTGGACTCTTTTAAAAACATCTTCTTAGTTCTTTAGATGTTCATCAAAGGTTTACCCCAAGACTATGATGTCGTCTAAATACACCAGGCATGTTTTCTAGGATAACCCTCTCAATACGTTTTCCATAAGTCTTTTAAATATCGCAAGGGCATTACATTGAATTGTCACAATCCATATCCGGTGGTAAAAGCTTTTTTTTTCTTTGTCTACTGGGTCCATTTCCACCTTCCAATATCCAGACTTTAAGTCTAAGGTAGAAAATAGTTTACTTCCAGCCAATGTGTCCAAGATATCGTCGATTCGAGGCAGAGGATAACTTCCTTGGTAACATTGTTCAACTGACGGTAATCCACACAGAACCTCGTAGTTCCATCCTTTTTCTAGACCAGGGGCTTGTTTCATAAAACTACTTTACACTTTGCAAATTTACGAGTACAAAATATTTGTGTTTTATAAAATAACATCGTTAACTTTGCAGATTATTAATTTTTCATTTTCAATGTTCAAATTGCTTTTTAAATTTTACTTTTTAATTCATCAAATTTCTCTTTTATGAAACATACATTTAGTAAAATATGCAAAGTGCAAAGTGAAAAGTTGCAAAGTAGTTTTATGAAATAGGCCCCAGGACTACCGGAGAGACTCATGGGCTGGTAGAAGATTCTATCGCCCTGTATTCCTTCATTTCCCGAACAATCCTTTCAGCTTCCTCTCTCTTGGCCTTTGGTAATCTTCGAGCTGATTGTCGAATCGGCCTGGCGTTACCAGTGTCAATTTTGTGTTTTACAACAGAAATTCTTCCTGTTTTTCCTTCCTTTTGGTACAAAAATGTCACGATATCGTAGAATAAATTGCTTTATTTTTTTTCTCTAATTGGTTCAGAGAATGACCAGCAACTGCAATCAATTGCTCGAATTTGTCGTTGGAATGATCAGTTGTTGTCTGACGAATTATGGGAGTTACTGGCACACAAGTTCCGATTCTGGTCTCTTTCTTGATAGTAATTGGGTGATCATTAACGGTTATAAGACGAACTGGAATCTCTTTAGCAGTCATGACAAACCCCTTCCCGATCAGAATTCCTCATCCAACCTCTTGATCGTGGTTCCAAGGTTCCATCATTACAGGTGTTCCTTCTTCCATAGCTTCTTGAAGTCGTACTACTATAATGGTTTCAGTTCTGCCAGACACCACTCTGTATCCTTCTGTACAGCAACTGGCACGGTACTGTTCCCATATGGATGTAGGAATACCTCTTCGGCGCCAACTTTGATCACTCTGTTTTTAAAATCCAACTGGAAACCATGTAAGTTCATTATATCCATTTCTAGTGTAACAGATTCTTCGATATTAGCGACAATAACAGTATAAGTGAACTTTTCTGTACCAATTCTTAAGTGGACCTGGATTTCCTCATGTATGTTGGCACTTTCACCTGTGGCAGTCTGCAGTTGCAATCTTGTTGGTAGACGTCTCTTACGGTTATTTATGATTGTTGGTCGTATAATGGTCCTAGTTGCTCCAGTATTTACCAACAGTGTATACTTTTTTACCATTTACTTCGCCATCTACGTATACACTATCATCGCGACACTTCAGAGAGGCTATCAATATAAGAGGGTCTTTGGAAGGGTTTTGGGTCGAAGCTGCCTCTCTAGGCCGACCCGCTCTAGGCCACGGAGTCCATCAACAAATGTTTGGACTGCCAAATATTCCATCATGTTTTCTGTAGCTGATGGGTAGACAAATCGCACCAACCTGGCAATATCTACTTCATATTCTTAAAGGGTATCGTCTCGCTTCTGTTTGCGATTTTTAAACTGTGATTGGTATAAATGCTCCAAGTTTTTGTGACCATATCGCATGTTTAATCTCTTTTTGAGTTGTTCAAACTCATCCGGCTCTTTCACAGGTATTGTCTGAAGAACATCTAAAGCGTCTCCTCGAAGGGCGATGGTCAAATTTACTGCCATCTCTCATTCAGACATTTCGTTTGCTACGGCAGCCGTTTCGAACTGTTTAAGATAGTTGGTCCATGACATCTTTCCGTCGAAAGTTGGGGCTTTAACACGATCAGACTTTACAGCTCCTTCCAATTTCAACTTTAACTTCACCTCATGGTATCTTATTTCACCGTCCTTGGTCTGGTCTAGGTGTACCATTTCTTCTATCTTCTTTTCCATTTCTTTTATTTTCTCCTCAACGGAAGAAATCTAATCTTCTATGGAAGAAATTTCGTTTTTCATAGAAGTCATATCAGAAGAAATTTCATCTTTTAAAGAAGAGATTTTTTTTTGCAAATAGGAAGAAATTTCGGTTTTGAAAGAAGATATGTAAGAAGACACCTTTTCTTCTAAGGAAGAAATGCCAGACGAAACTTCATTCATTAATCTGGGAGCAAGAAAACTGATGAATTTTTTTGTGTCGATTTATTACAAAAAATAAAAAAAATAAAAAAATTAACAATCTCGGAAACTAAATACCTACTTAAAGTTTATGTTCTAAGATCTTTTTTTTTATTAGTACGCCATAATTTTAAAAAACTACAGGTCCATCATAATACCTGTGCTAACATACAGTGCAGTTATCTGTTTTCTGAAAACACAACAAATGACAACTATCTGCAAACTAGAACAAAGACAAATAACATAAGACGGGACATGAAAACCACACCATCCAAAGCTAAAAAAGTCATTCTTAGTCTCCCATGTTATTAAATATATTCCAGAATCTTAAACCTAAACATAAAATTGTCTGTGAGCAATAGTTCCAGTGCAGTTTAAACTGAGCTCACGGAGATTCTCATATCAGTAAAAGTAACAAGATCATTTAAAGGGACATGCTCATCTATAAAGATAGCAAACAGGTACAACTCACCCCGGATAGACCAGAAATTAACTCAGGATTAATATTAATATGTCACCAAGTCTTGGTCAGAGTCACATTAAGATGGATCAAAGACCACGCCACATCGAAAGGTCTTGCCAATTCACTAACCAAGAAGACAGCAAATCATATACTTTTCTATTAGACTAACAACATCGATCTTGAAAAAAAACCTAATTAAAGGATATTTCCTTGTGAAATTCATAAAAAGACGGGATAAAACAAGAAGCTACAAAGTTTCTAAGGAGCTCTTCAGTAAACCCGATAACACTACAGCTATTAAATATTTTACTGACTGGTCATTACCAAATGCCGAAGCAAATGTGTAGGCTAATATTGGCTAACACCAGCTAACATAAGAGATACACATCTCGTCGAAGTTATCGACATCATTAAATCTCTAGGCTGACTGACGAGCTAAGAGAGGCATAATCGTTGTAAGAGAATTCATAATGGGCCTAATGAGGTATAAGTGCTGTGGGGGTAACCCAATCTCCCCAACTTTCAGATATAAATATAAAAAACCTTAAAGTGTTGTATATTTATCATACCTACATTCTCTACATTTTTGATGCAAAATCAGATAATTAGCTATTTCTATTTTCCAATAAAGAGTATTTCAATATATTTTACCCTATTTTTCTTTTCCTCTTCTTGTTGTTTACGTTTTTGCTCTAATTTATGTTGTTTCACCATTTCAGTGAGATTACCTATATATTCATCTGTTTGAGAAAGTAAGAATGCCAAACGTTTATCTTTTTTTTGATCTATTAATTTTCTGTAACCTTCTTCATCTTCCGCCATTAATCTAAAACATATTTAAAGCTTATTATTTGTATCAAATTGGTTGTTAATAAAAATTATCCCGTACTACACTACGCTTAATAATAAATTTATAAATGACTATACCTTCTCATACGTTCTTTTTCAATTCTCTCTTGTTCCTTCTTTTGCTCTCTTTCCGCGTTGACGTGATAGCTCATCATGCCTTTATTAAGTCTTGATAGCTTTCCTTGAACATTTCGGTGAAATTCTTTAAAATCCTTTCCATGCTGTAAAACAGAATTAAGAAATTCCTGATATTTCTGCTTTTTCTTCCGTTCAGCTTCAAATTTTTGTTGCTTTTCCAGTTTTTCAGTGGCTCTGGCTTCTTTTAATCCTTGAAATTTTGCACGTTTGTATTGTTTTACGTTAATAATTGTTTCTAAAAGTGTATCCCTTCTTGTGCAAGCTATTATTTCGCTTCTAAGCTGACGTTGAAAGTTCAAACACTTCAGTGCTCTTAATTCAATTTGTACTTGCATTCTTACGTCGTCAGATAAATTTGAGGGCAGATTGGAAAGGTGTTCCATTCGAGATGCTATTCTTGCACTGACCCTTAAATAACACTACCTTTTACCAAAAATTGTATTCTTAACCTTCGTTACTACTTTTCGTCTAACGATGGTTAAAACTCGAAACTTCATAAAACACATATTCAAAATTTTTTACGTAGGTATCAAATATTTAAATTGTATAAAAGTTTCTTAATAAAAATAAGCACATAGAATAATAAAAAATTATTAAATATTAAAATAATTGAAAATAAATGATTATACATTATATACATAATTAATTCAGAATAAACTGGTAATTTATTTATTACCGATAGATGTAATTAGAATTATAAAAAGTAATTATAATTCTTACTGAGATGGGAATTAAAATGGTTCCATGCAAATGGAAATTCTCGTCTTATCTGGACGAAGCAAACTACAAAACAGAACTGAAAGATGTTCTACAAGAACTACTAAGAACGCTCATGAAGCAACAAAAGATTGGGTTGAGCAAACCATGGAACATTGAACAGATGCCAAACTCAAAGTCATAGACTTTGAGGAAGTAATCAAACCCTAAGTGCAACCGATAATTGAACCGGACCGAATTATTTCTGAAAGAGTTGGAGAGTTGCTGGAAGGAAACCATAGGGGATAGCAACTTTTCATCAACATGGATTCAGTCTCCTGAGGTAAGATAAACAAGAAACAGATATTACTGTGCCTGAACTTCTTAATATCTTCTGCTCCTCCTGAAACAGCACAGTTGGAAGAAATCCACATGTAGGGGGAATTTTTACCAGAGGATAATTAGCCCGCGGTCGTAGGTTTCAAGTAATTGGAGAAACAAAACAAGTTGATGATTATGTTTCAGTTGTAATAGGAGGCTCAGAATCCACAGAGTGACGATGAGATGACTCTAAGCCAGCTGCAGTGCAGAAACTAGGTTTTACTTTCATGGCCAACTCCGATTTAAAAAAATCTTCGACTAAACTATGAGCACACACAGCATACAAATAGTAAAAAGAGGATATTTTCAAAAATTCATTTATATATTTACCTGTTTTCCCTCTCTTGTAGAATAATTAGGGGATCAATACCAATCGGTTTTGGTATACAGGAGATTCTGTTCTGTTTACTGTTTTGATGGTGGTGTGATTGTGGTTGATGACCATGTTGTTGATGTGCAGGTAATCTCGAACTATTATTCATCATTTGAGCTGGTGGCAATGGTGAAGGGCCACCATGAGGTTTGCAGCTCTATATAAAAAAATAGTAGACTTAAATTAAGAAAGAAGTCAACAATCTCGCGGACAATTGGGTAGAGTAGAAGAAGAAAAATAGCAATTAGATAGTATCTTCACAACTGGGGACTCTACCCTTTTACAAGTTGAAAACTTCGTATCTGAAGACTCGATCAATTTTTACTTGAGGTAAATTCGCAATTAGTGACTTGTTTAAACTGTGACTAAAAAAATTTAATTAACACACAGTGTATTCCATTTTATTATGTAATTGGCTATCCTTTTGTCATTTCTCATACATAAAAATAATTCAATCATTGGATTATGTTTAATAACACTCTTAGTCACAGAACATACCATACCAAAAATATAAGTACAATTTGATAAGCTGCTTTTCCCAATATGACAAATATTAATATTTGTGCCCAAGTTTCAACTAATTTTTATTGGAACTTTTGAATTTCATTTTGGATTCCTTTTTGTAAATTTATTGTTATTGAAGGAATCCATTTTCTTTTGTTAACTTAATTTATTCACAATGTGTAGGGTTTTCTTTGTTATTCCAAAAGGATAAATAGCAAAATCCATTTTATTTATCACATATATAAAATTTCTAATAATAGGTACATTAAAATAATTGCACCTTACCTACTGTATTAAGAACGGTAATGCTTACATTTAAAATATGCCTTACAAAATGTATTTACCTACCTAATGTGTTTTTAATTTATTCAGAAATGATGTGTGAATATTAGCGTTTGCTTCTAAAAAAGCCAGAAATGCAATAATTATTGTCTCGATTTTTTTTGGAGATAACATCTTCAAAAGTTGTCCACAATTTAAGCAGCTTACACCATCCATTCAGATAATAGTAGTACACCAAACAAACAGTAGGTATTACTGTTTTATACGCACTCCTTCCCGACAAAAATGAAACAACATACCTTGGTACGTAAATTTATTTTTTAGTAGTAGTATCCTGCGAGTTTTAAAATAGATTATTTTGGCCCTACAAAGATGTTTCTCAAATATGGATACAACTTTCGTTTTAACCACCAATGGTTGCGTCGCAAAATTTAAGAAATTTGTCTAACTAATGCATAAGAGGAAAATGGAATGTATATAAAAAGATGCACTGCATTGTCACACGTTCCATACGACAACGTTGTAAAAACTGTGTAAATGGCCACCTTGCACAAAAATATAATGACAATTTTGTTGATCAATGGTTGTGAAATACCATTGTGCGAAAGATATGGATATGCCTACGGTGGAAGACACAGAATAGCTTGAAATTTGCCATCACCATCTCAATAACAAATTTTCAGTTGTAATATCCCAAGGACAGCGATAATTCGAAAAATTTTTTCACTTACCGAAAGCACTTTGCTTGGTACCTTCAGAAACGTGCTTGAGGAATTTGAAAAAAAAAAAATATGAATATCACTGGCCGAGGGGTATCCGGTCAGAAAATTTTTGGAATATTTTAACTCATTTATTTAATAAAAAGTAACTTTATCGTCATAGTCCATAAAGTCTAGACTTCCCAATTCTTCAGAATTAAAGTTAGGTCTTAAATACTTCCATTTGTATCTAACACATATTTTTGAATTTTATAAAATTGTATAAATGGTTTCCATTGTGGAACAGCCAAATGAAATAAATTCATAATAGATAAATGGGAGCATGTTTGGAAAAACGCTCGGATACATTGATTGGTATTTTTAGTTGCGCATTTTTTATACAGGGTGTGTCATCTCACTAACGAACAAGAATGTTCCACAAATGGTTAGTGGGTCGATACAAAACATATCCTGACAACGCTGCAGCAAACAAATACTTGACTATGACTAGACAGAATCTGCGCTTAGTCACAGGCATTCTGACTGGTCATTGCCAAGTACGGAAGCATCTCCATATCATGGGGCTGTCCGAATCTGCACTCTGCAGAGGGTGCGAAGAAGAAGAAGATGAGATCATCGAGCTTATCTTTTACGATTGCTCGACGCTCTCATTTATTAGAAGATTTGTGTTCGGCGAGTATCGGCTAACACCGGCCGATATAAGAGGTTGGTTAGCGACACAGGCGTTATGCACTTCCTAATTGGTCAACGTCAAGCGTGACTCTCAAGCTCGATGAGAAATTTCTATCCCAGCAGATCATCCAAAACTGTTGAAGACAACACAGCGTTTTGCGGTGTTAAAAAAGGGGACGCTTCGTCCGCCATCATGTAATATAATTTTTATACCTGAAAAATTACTCAAGTAACAAATTTCCTAGAGAAATACTGTAAATAATGTAAAAAATATTTAGTTTTTAAGTGCATTATGTAAAAAAAATAAAATTATTCCATTAGTGTTTAAAATAAAGTGTGTAATCAGAAGGTGATGTTTTTAACCAAATACTAATTCTCCCAGGCCTATGGGTTGCACAGGTATATTTAAATATTATTATTTAATACAGTTCATGATTTTGCCAAGGCCCGAATGTCGGTCCTAGCTTGTTTATTGCGGAAACACCGATAGAATCCTATGTTTCGGTCATATCGCTACACCGTCTAATAACCGTCCAAACGATTATTTGTAATATAATTGACAAATGTACTTATAAAAACTGCTGTTTTTTTCAAAAAATATAATGTGATAACAGATCATTAAAATAGTTTTCTACCAGGAAGATCAACGGAAAGTGCGGCTATTGCTCTTTTTGATTTTATACACACTTCTTTAGACAAAAAGAAATACGCACGCCCTTTTATCTGATCTTTCAAATGCTTTTGATTCGAGAAATATAAGAATAACAATTAGTAAATTGAGTAACTTAGGATTTAGAGTTAATTTTCTGTCAAGGTTAACGTCATATTTAGAATTTCGCAAAACAATTGTCAAAATTGATGATCAGAAATCTCTCCCACATCATGTGGATATTCGAGTACCCCAAGGATCGATCCTGGGGCCTTTGATATCCCTATTATATATAAACGATATTCCGAAACATGTAAGTACTGACCAAATAGTATTATATGTTGATGACACCACATTAGCGGCTAATGCGGATTCTCCACTTGAACTGATTGACAAATTGAATCGCTTATCTGTAGAAAGGAATTCCTTGATTGTCAATTCACCAAAAACTGTATATATGCAATTTTTTACCAGAACAGAAATACCATAATATTAAAATTCCTGGGTGTTCAAGTAGATAATATTATGAGTTGGAATACTAATATTAACAATACGTGTAAATAACTGAATTATAGCTATTTAGCTGTACTTCAGTTAAAAAATACTTTTACAACCAATCAATTAATAAATGTTTATTGTGTATTCTCATATATCTTCTAATATTATTTTGTGGGGAGGTGCAGTTAACGCTTCCAGAGTTTTCATTTCTCATAAAAGAGTAATTTGTTTATTTGTTAATCTCAATTATAGAGAGATCTGTAAAAAAAAAATGCAATGCTTACATTTTATTCTGTATATATTTATAAATGCGTCAAGTATGCAAAAAGTAATTACCACAAATCAAAACACACCTTTGATTTATGAATATCCCACAAGATCTGCGTGTCTTATTAGACCTTTTTTTTATTTTTTATTAAATAAGTTAAAAACATTTTTAGTATATGAATGTTTTTATGACATATCTGAATTTTTATATGTCCCAAAAGTTTTATACAAATGGAAAATGTTTGTTACATGTCACAAAAAAATATTGAAAAAAAGTTCTGCATAACTTCGAAATCCATAATTCTGCATCAAATTTGATAAAATTTCAAAAATTTCTAATACCCAACACTAATTATTGAATGGAATATTTAATGCAGAGTAAATTAAAATCACGATGAATCGTTTGAAATTTTAACTTTAAGTCGATAAAAATCTTCTTGCAGCTTCCATTTATTATTAATTTTAAATAAATGCATGGAAAATAATTTTTCTTATAAATCATTATTGATAAAATCTCAATTACACACGTATTATTTGTTACCAATTAATATATGAAGAATACGTGGGTTATAGTTAACTTTTTGACTATCTGGAAATCTGTTTTATTTAAATTTTAAGTTATGATAAGAAATTGAAAATTTCAAATAAGCAAAAAGTAAATTTCTCGAGAGAGCTAGAGAGAAACGAGAAATTCTCGTCAAGAGATGTCTCGCTCGTCTCGTCAAAACGAGATAAGATGAGGCGAGAGACGAGAACCTCTCGTCTCGCGGCATCACTACCCCAGATGCAAAATTTAAATTAGTAAAATACATAATATCTAAATTAATTTTTTTTAATGCTGCAATTTTTTTTAGTGTGTCGTCGGCAAAGTATACTGTAGAACTCGAGTGGATCGCCCCATATTCCACGTGTTAAACATCTATCTTGCAGAATATAATAATATGTGGAGAAAATGCACCATAAAATAGGAAACATAATATACAAATGGCAATGAGTCAGTCAAGACAAATAAAATGTGAGAAAAATGATTATTTTTGTATATCAAGGTCGTGACAAGATCTTTTCCAGTCCAATTACAAAATGTGACTGAAGTACCTATATATAAAAAAATGATAATGATTTTTTTTGAACTATCTCTGCCAAGTCAATTAAAAATAATCAAAGACTAGTTGGTTGGTAAGATTTTTGCTTCAATTATGTCCAGGATCGTATTATAGAAACATTAAATTTTACCTGGCTTGGATGAATAGGCATGGGTACTTGCAATGGTATCAGGTGACTTTGAGACATGCCAGACTGACAGCTTGATGGGTAGGGTCTTATTGATTGAAACTGAACTGAGCCACCTTCAGAAGGTCCATTTTCTGGAGGTTCACAAAAATGAGTTTCGCTCTGAAAGAAAAATATGTAACGAAATTATAATTATTTTTTTTTGTTCTAATTATAGGTTTCAAACACCTCTTGACTGTGATTTAATTGATATCTTTACGTCTTAATTGGTATGTATCTCTACAATCGTTTCAAGGCGAAGGTGAATAAACATTTCCCTAAAAGATAGATAGGTAGAAGTGCAGATGCCCGAATTTATTGGCCAACGATCGCCTGATTTAAATCCTTTTGAGTATACTATTTGGAGGTACGTAAAAGAGAAAGTTAACATAATGGAAGAATTAAAGGAAACAATTTAACATTAACACCCATGTCATAGGTCCTTCTTACAAAAACGAATAAAAATATATACAAGCTGGCTACTTTTTATATTGAACAGTATTGCTATCTCGAAAACCGTAAGAGTTACAACGTCGGTAAAATGGGAAAAAAGTTGTACTTTTGCAAGACTAATTTAGTGATATTTTAAAATCGAGAACATAAGGACCGGTTTCCAAGATACTTAAGGAAAACCAAATGACTCTATTTTCAATTTTCGATTGTATTGCCTTTATTTTACAAATTAAAAAAAAATATAATTAGATTTTTTATTTAGTATTACCACCGAACAATAATAAACAAGAAGAATCACTATAAGCGCCGCTTTCATTTATGTTATTTTCTCACGGCTGTGCTTGGTCACTGGGCGAGTTCGGATAGACAGGGGCTGGAGCGGGACAAATTTTAGGGTGCTTTTAAATGACATTTAAGCGTGTTAAACTGTCACTAATCGGACTAAACCGAACGCTAAAAGGATCGTTCGGAGTTAAAAGTGTTAAAGGAGTTAAAGGAACTTGGCAGACCGAACGCAATGATTGTTGTTACGCTTTCTCGGGGTATCTCGGAGACAGTATTAACAGGGCACATGTTATGTGCGTGAAGTCTCAGCGCTCGAAGTATACCGGATGGAATAATTACCACGTTCCAGTCAGAGTATTTGTATTATACGGATTGTCTTCACCAGCGGAACAGCTAAAATTATTGTGCTTGTAGTTGGAATTGGCGTTTTAGATCTGTACTGTTATATTGACAGCTATTTAGTACGAGTATAATTATTAGATTCGTGTAAAGTTTTAGTTTTAAAAAATGCCTAGACATTGTTGTGTAGAGGGCTGCAATAGCAGACAAGGATCTGGGGGGAGAATATGTTTTCGGTACCCGAGAGATGAAATAAGGTAATAAATGTGTTTATATTTTTTATATAGTCTCTTGCTGCATTTATGCAAACTGCGTAGGTCTTTATAAGTTTTTAAAAAAGTAAAATTTTGGTATTTTGGATCGTTACAGATGCCAAAGTTGTAAAGATGTTTTAAGGTTTGTTGAAACGCATAAATATGCTAACTTTACTGGGGACCAGTGTTATAACAGATTGGCAGTATGTGATTTACATTTTACAAATCACGATTTTCTAGAAAGACCTGGTCTTAAGTATAATGCGATACCCTCTTTAAACTTGGGATATCAAACCAATATGGATGCCTCTATTCAAACCGATTACGTAAGTCTAGAAGATGCACGTTTACAAGCAGATTTTAACTTTGATGATAAGAAGTGCAGCGACGCATCTTCGCAAACTGGTACATCCAGAATAAATAGTAGGTCTACACAAACAACAGCTTTACTTTCTGCAAACACTCCGAGAAAAACAATCTTGAAGGAAAAAATAAGAAGTTTAAAAAGAGCATCAAGTAGTGCATCAGGGTCAAAGGCTCCAAAATGTCAGAGGCAGTTGGAGACAAATATTACTTTTGAAGATGTGCATAGGTTTTTAGAAGATAAGTATCCAAAAAAGTCATGTCAACTTATTAAATCTCAATTAGATTTATTAAATAAATCCCCAAAAGGTAGTAGGTATTCCGACGAATTTAAGCAATTCGCTGTAAGCGTTAACTTTTTGGGGCCTAAGGCTTACAAACAGTTTTCAAGTTTGTATAGATTACCTGCAAAAAGTACGCTGAACCGATTTACTAGAAAATGGATTGTGACTCCTGGATTCAACGATTTTATTTTTGGCTTACTTAATTTTGAGAACCAAATTTCTTACAGAAATGGAGAAGGTCTGTATTATATGCCTTGACGAAATCTCTCTAAAATCAATTTTTTTTTACGACATTAGCAAAGACAAAATTATTGGATTCCAGGAAGGGCATTCGCATAGTACCAAAATTGCAACTTCTGCATTGGTAGTAATGGCGCGTGGAATTACCTCTGGTTGGAAACAGCCTATTGGGTATTTTTTTTATAATTCAGTAGCTCCCGCGGAAGAGGTGAAAGAAATTTTATTTGAGAGCATTAGGAAATTAAATTCCATCGGCTTTAACGTAATGGGAACCGTTTCAGATCAAGGCTCTAACTTCCGTAAATTGGTTAATAAAATTTTAAAATTAACCCCAGAAAATATATATTTTAGTGTTGATAATATAAGTAATCTTGTTTATTTGTTTGATGTACCACACCTTCTAAAATCTGTTCGAAATAACTTTTTCTCATATGATTTCCGTTTACCAGAAGGTTTAATAAAGAAATGTTATTTGGATATTTTTTATCAATATGACAAGAAAAAGGCAAACAGGATGTGTCCTAATTTAACCGATGAACATTTATTTCCCAGTAGGTTTCAGAAAATGAAAGTGAAATATGCGTCGCAAGTATTTAGTCATTCGGTGGCAGCAGCGTTGCATGCATATATAGATTTTAAGTTTTTACCACCAGAAGCTAGATTAACAGCAAATTTTGTTGAAAAGATAAATTATTTATTTGATTTGTTAAATTCGTGCAACTTACAAAATTTTAACGTTTTTAGAGGGACAGAAAAACAAATACAATTTTTAGAGGAAATTATTGTCATGCTTGATAATTTAAAAGTTGTTAAAATGGTAAACTCAAAACAAAAAGATGGAAAGTACATTGTTGTAGAAAAATGTTTTAACAGTACAATGCATCTTATATACGGGTTAAAATTAACGATTAGTTCCATTAAAGCTTTGTGGCATATTTTAAAATCAAAAAACTATTCTTTTTTAATGACACGTAACCTAAACCAAGATTGTTTAGAGAATTTTTTCGGTCAGATTAGAAATTGTGGAGGTAACTGTAAAAATCCTACGCCGATACAGTTTTGTAGAGCCTTTAAAAAACTATTTAGATTTTTTGTACAACTTTTCATTTCTGGAGGGCCACCATATTTTTTGAATACATACCTGCATTTTTTATTCTATTTTATAAAAGTACATTTAATCATAAATTCAACCGTATAATACACATTAGTAGTTTAGGACGTTTTGATACTTTTTATTATTGCTATTGCAAGGTCACTATAAATTTTATTGTTTTAATACAGACCTGTACTGTAACCACTCGGATGTTTCGTTTATCGCTAGGCTAGGACCACCCTGTCATGATTCACGAGTGCTACTCATATTTCGTAGAACGATACGTCGAACTGGGACACATAAGAATATTTGGTGATTAGCACGGCATTCTTGGATAGGTATTCATTCGATACGTTTCATTTTATGTACTATTATTCTTAACACCGATTAAATTCGATTCTATATTAAAATCAGATTTATTTCATTTAAAATTAATTAACATAGTTTACAGTACTTTTTATTATGCTTTTTTACTTAGATTACTAGCAAAACTACACTCCTATAATTATTTTTAAATTAATCGCAGTTTCGTTATATCTGCTTCCTCTACCAAACATTTACTAGGAATCGTACCTGAGCCATACCTGTTGTGTTGAAGAGGGATGGCGGTTAATGAGTGGTATATTTTTCTATTTATCAATCCAGAATTTGTTAAGGTAGTCTCATCTTTCCATAGAGGATGTAGGTATTATTAATCTAGAGTAATCTATTTTTAATGAGACGAATAAAAAAGTAAAACTTGAAGAATTACTGTAAAATGATTTTACAATCTACAAATATTTAAATAAATAACGAAAAAACCAGAGGATAAAATAGAAACAAAAAAGGAACGATATGCAATTTTACAAAAATTGTTCAAAATGTTTTTTATTTTTTTGAATGTATGATTACATTTTGTTTATATTTTTACAAAATTTATTTAATTAACAAATTTCTCGTCATGGTCCGTTACTCTGCAGAAAAAAAAGACATGTACGATATTTTTATTAAACATATTAACAGAAATGTTGGTGTAGCAGTTCAGGCCATCGAGATAGAATAAAGGGGAGACGCTATGACGTTACTAAAAGTGTCCGCACTTTTCAATAAGCATTACATTTTTACGTCATGTGTCAAACTAACGTGACCTAGTCAGTTTGATTACTGTTTTGGTGAGAATAAACGCCATTTTATTTAAATAGCTGCATTTAAATCTTATAAAAAGTTGTTTATTTTAATTTTAAATAATGGTATCATGTGCTATAAGAAGCTGTTGGAGCAGTGACAGCGTTAATAAGAAAAAAACTTCAGGAATTACATTTCATAAGTAAGTCTAAAGCATATTCTAAACAATTATAAGGACCGTATTCTTAATTTTTGTTTCAATGTTTGTGTGTTAATTAATCAATTTACTTTTCTAATAATATAAGTATATTAATCTCGCTAATTTAGATTCTGATAAAAATGTAATGATAATTTCACATCAGTAGTGATGCCTATATAAATCATTGGGGCTATAAAGTTAATATTTTATGCTATTCCTGTAGGTACAGTTAAGGAATAAGTTTTAAATTTTCACAACGCTAAATATACAAATACCTGAATTATAAATTTCCAAAGAACTTTATACTTGAATTACAGATTTCAAAAGAACTTTATACTTGAATTGTAGATTTCCAAAGAACTCTGTAACGCGGGATTCATGGATTGGATTTGTAAATAGAGGTGACTGGAAACCTTCAAAATATAGTGTACTATGCTCTAGACATTTTGAAGAAAACTGTTTCGATAGAAATTCTGTACATTTTGTTCGTCTAAAAGATAATGCGATTC